TTTAATATGGACGTGAGCAGCAATTGGCTGATCGGTGAGGGCTGGGTACCGACGCGTGACCTGCCCGTAGTGCGCAATGCGCTCGCTAGAGGTTCGACCAAAGTGAACAGCACAGTTAGTTCCTTCCTGAATGTGATCGAGACAAACGAACAACCGCCGACCTTTTATAGAACAAATAAGTTTACACGTGCCTACCAGAATTTAATCGATGCTTATGGTCTCTGCACTTATCACGAAGTTAATCCGGCGCTCTACGGTTGCATCACTTTTCCTTTCTTGTTTGCGGTGATGTTCGGCGATTTGGGACATGGTTTCATTCTATTACTTATTGGTCTCTACATGGTCTGGAAGGAGGAGAAACTGAGCCAAATCAAGGGTGAAATATTCAATATATTCTTTGTGGGCCGCTATATTATACTACTTATGGGCCTATTTGCCATGTACACTGGTTTCGTGTACAATGATATCTTTTCCAAATCGTTTAATATTTTTGGATCAGCATGGCATGCAGATAGCATACCTGTACCTAATGGAACTTTCAATGGCGGTGAATTCATAATGTTGGACCCTTTGAATAGCTTGAGTGACGTTTATGTCTATGGCATGGATCCGCACTGGTCAGTGGCTGAAAATAAGATCATCTTCTTGAATGCCTACAAAATGAAGCTCTCCATCATATTCGGCCTCTTACACATGGCGTTCGGCCTTATATTGTCGCTCGTTAATTTTGTGCATTTCAAGCAATATGCGCGCATTTTCTTAGATTTTTTGCCACAGCTCTTTTTGATGTTCCTCTTCGGCTATTTGGTGTTCTTAATGTTCCTCAAATGGGTGAAGTATTCCGGCAGGACAACAGAGCAGGTTCTTACGCCTGGCTGTGCACCATCTATACTCATTTTATTTATCAATATGCTGTTATTTGGCAACACTGAACCCAAGGAGGGTTGCAAGGAACATGATACAATAATTTTTAGAAGGTAGTTTCACTTCTTCTTCTTATCCGCCATGTTAGCTATCTGACAGAAAACGTGTTTCGTATTTTTTGTTGTACCAACTTTTTCAAAAAAAAAAAATCCAGCTTTTGACGTTGGAAAAATAAAACAAAGAAAAGCCAAACATATAAGTAGAGAAATTTTCGAATATTTTGTAATAATTTTCTTCATAAAAAATTAACTGCTGCTTTCGTGGATATTGCAACACACGGAATAGATGTAAGGACACAGCTATAAGAGCCACCGCACACCATAGACTTTATCGGCCGCCTATTTTAATGATAGGGCTCGCTTGAAATATGTACATGAAGATGTATGGAGGTGCGCACATTACACGATGGATCTACTCCATTATAAACAAGAAATATTGCTGTTATATTTTCATTTTTATGATTTTTATTCATGTGATTAGCAGTGGCAAAAATGTATGTATAAAATACGTATATTTATATTAAAAATTAAGTGATCAGTTAAGAAACATATACATCTTTACATGTTCTGTTAAAAAATATCTAAAAAACAAGCGATAATCCCCAAGTTCTATATCGTAGCAGTGGCCACATTGCGTGTTTGTCACAGACACGGTTTATGTCAAAAATTTTGAAGTGAAACTACCTTCTAAAAATTATTGTATCATGGCAAGGAATATATGTTCGAATACCAAAAAATCGTGCAAATAATAATTGTGGTGTTGGCAGTTTTGTGCATCCCATGGATGCTGTTGGGTAGCCCGCTGCTGGAGGCACGCAAGCGTAAACAGAGAGGGGTAAGTAAATACGGCTCGTAAATGCTTAGGAGTTCAAATAATATTTAATTGGTATTTTTCCATTACGTACTTAGCTAACAGTGGTCACAAATGGGATCACAAATGAAGCATTTGAAGATCACAACAACGCAGTTGCGAGTGCGCCAGCTAAACCAACGGCGTCAACACACGGCCACCATGAGAGTGATGCGGACGAACCTATGAGTGAAATCTACATCAAACAGGCCATACACACTATCGAATATGTATTGAGTACTATATCTCATACGGCGTCGTATCTTCGCCTGTGGGCTCTGTCGTTGGCGCATGCGCGTAAGTATATTCGCTCAATTTGCTGAACAAATACTTGAAAACTCTGTATTTTTAGAATTATCAGATGTTCTGTGGAAAATGTTGATTCATGTGCCTATCAGCTTTCCAATGCCATTCGGTGGAATTATGGTGGGAATTCTCTTCACACCATGGCAATTTTTTACGATCACCATACTCGTTATTATCGAAGGATTAGCTACTTACTTAAGTATTCAAGAAGATCGTTTGATGATAGTACGTCGGCACGGAAGTGACACTTCTTCCTATTACCCGCATAGTTCACTGTATTACACACGTATTTTTCTGCATAATAATGAACAATTATCTTAATCATAATTCCAATCTCAATCTAAATCTTAGCCTTAACCATAACCTAAATCTAATGTTTACTTTTTCCGCTAAACTTAACCGCAACTTTTACCTTAACTTTAACCTTAACCTTAGCCTTAACCTTAACCTTAACCTAAAATTAGCTTTAACTTTTATTTTAACCCAAACCTTGGTCTTAACCTTAACCTTAACTTTGACTTTAACCATAAACTTAACTTTAACTTTGACTTTAACTATAACCTTAGCCTTAACCTTATTCTTAACCTTAACCATTACCTTGGCCTTAACCTTAGTTGAACCTTAACATTTGCGTTAACCTTAACCTTAACCTTAACCTTAACGTGAACCTTAAACTTAATTTCAAAATTCATATTTTCTATCGAAATCTTATTCTTTATATAAGTCTTAGGGCCGTTGTCATCATCTATGGTTAAGACTAATCCCCAGTTAAACGTCTTTACCGACGTAATTGACTCCATGCATAAACCACTGAGTTGATAACGTCGGTAACGATGTTTAACTGGGGATAACTTTAAACCAGAAATAGGGAAAACGGCCCTTAGTCTTAATATTGATCTCAAATTTAATATTGATCTTAATCTTACTAATAATCGTGACCAACCGACCCCACCATCGCCTCCCTTCTTCTGTCTATGTTTCACTTCAAAAATAAATATACAAGGCAAAAAACTAAAAATACAATTATCTTCTTATGAAGGGCTGTTGGTAGTTATCTGTATGAAGTGATGGAAATTAACAGACCTCGGACTCCCATTCAGCGCGTCAAATAACATGGGGATATAGAAGGTTGGTTCCATAAGCAGGCACTTTTTTTTTGTAAACCTATATAATTTTGTAAAAAGTTAACGAAAAATAAAAAATTTGGAGTACTCACTTTGGTGTAAAAACCCAAAGGAGGCTAATTTGCAAAATCTATGTTCGCTATTTTAAAACGCCTCATTAGAGAGGACGGTATAGTAGAAGCAGATTCTCATTTTCGAAACAGATTTCTTCGAATTTAAAAAAATTCAAAACAGCTTCTGGATTAGAAATTTTGTAATTAATTTTTTTTTTGTTTTTTTTTTGGCCTTATAACAATTATATTCAACAATTTATACTGAGCTCGAGGCCGTTTTTTATATGAAAATTTAAATAAATTGTTGAATATTTTGTAGTTAACGTATACTGGATTGAATCTTATTATATTTTATATTTTATTTCGAATAATTTTCACCATTTGTAAATATATATTTTTTTAATAACTGCTTCTGTTTTTTGCAGGGTCGAATTCATGAGCAAATTTTACGATGGCGTTGGTTACGCGTTCCAACCTTTTTCCTTTAAAGCAATACTGAACGGCTCTTACGAAGATTAGAATATAGTTTTGGATTACAATTTTTGATGAAAAGAAAAATGCTATATTTAGCCACGAAATCTGCATCAAAAATATGTTTTATATGAAACTGTACATATGTATTTTGCACAAAGTAATAGTAAAGTTCTTAGATGATAATGGAGTTGGACAAATTATATTACCTCTCTGTAATTAAGAGACATATAGTTAATAAAGAGTTTAAACAAATCTTTGGTTATATGGAAAAACACTAAAGGTACTTCTTAAAAAAAAAAAATAAGAAAAATTATCATTTAACAGAGAGCAGATCGATATTTACATCAAAATTTCAGCTAAACTATTAAACAAGGACCACACATATGCAAGAACCAATCTATAAGTAAGAACCAGAGATGATATTATGGAGAAAAAAACCCAAAGAACCACGGTGATATTTCGTTAGACATTTTTTAATAAATTGTCACGTACAGACAAATCACGTGACGTGTCCGACAGCGTTCAAGCGAAAAGGAAACGTTTTTTTCTAAATGCGGTCGCCCGTCGGCAGGCAATCGCAAAACGCTCGGGTGTTTTATTGCAATGAAAGATAGCTTCTAATAAAAATGTTATCTCCTTTCGGAGTCATAGTAAAACTGTCACTTTAAGTGACAATATCGAGGCGCACGTCACAAATCAGAGGAGAAGCTCAGCCAAACACTAACATATTGTGTAAGTAAGCGCCAATCTATTATATATTATTATTATTTAACAATATAGCCGCGGAACTGATACGGCTGTGTAAAATAACTTAAATCAATACCACCAGCTCCGTCAGAATTAGGAAAAACCTATCCGAGCCGTAATTTTTCATACTGCATATGAGAAAATCTCACGAGTTGTAAAATTTTCCGACAAAAACGTGTTTTTGGTCGAAAATGATGGCGCACTTTTCTTAGACAATGCATTTTCTTCAGTTTTGCATAAATAACAAGATTCCATCGCGAAGTTGTATTTAAATGAAAACTTAAAAAAGATATACTAAAAGTCAGAATTAAAACTCGTGCTCATACATATGCCCGTGGTCGTGTATGTAACGTATACGCCCTATAGCAACATACCCAGTCACCTAATATATTTAAGTACTCGCACGCCTTAACTTAAAAGTCTAATCTATGCAAATAAAAGTTATTAGATATTGTCGTGGAATATTTATCTACAGTAGTATTAACGAATATATGTATATATTAATTTCTTAATATACTATATAACAATTTCCGAATGAATTTCGATTGTGCCAATAAAAATTGTAAAATTAGAATTTTTGTTTCGCAAATCATAGTTATCTTATAATCAACGTAATTTTATTTTCATTTGGCGGCACACTAGTTTTATTACTCTAGATTGGTTCGTTTAGGCAAGAAAAACATTTTCACCGTTTAATGTTGATATTTTTTTTTTACTTTTAAAATGTAAAAATCGTTAAATTTTAAAAATTACAAAATAGCTGCGACAGATATTTTGCATGCTGCCAGCACGCACTAAGAGGAAAGCTCCGTATGGAGCTTGGTTGACCACCCATCTGCGCAACTGCGGTGTCGTGTTCCTCCAATCATACATACGGCGAGGACCGTACAACGCTGGAAACTGCTTTTTATTTTCTTACAATATCGTAAAAATCGCTGGTGCCCCCTAGCGAGATAATTTTTCGCTAAAATGTTTCTGCCTACATAAGCAACATATTGCAAAAAGCAAGCAAATTTTCCCACATATACATTAGATGTATTACTTTTTCGCGGTAAACATTCCGATGGAAACGATTGAAAATAGATACATTTCCATATCGTATGCACAGGTATCTGCTTTGTGCAGAAGCAAATATCATTTGTGCTTACGCGATATGTTACCTTTCCATTTGTAAAAAGTGACATCTACAGAAATATTACAAATACAATATCGCCTAAAACCACTTTAAACGAGCGTGCACTCTCTGTCCAAGCAAGAATGATAGAATGAAATATAGCGGGAGTACCAGTCTGACAGAATTAACCATAACAAACCGACTTTTAAAAAATATCCTCCAAATCTGTACTGTTCCGCCAAAATCGGTACGAATGGCCACCGTAATTATGAGGGGCATGTATTTACACTTAGGGAAATAATGCATAGTAAAAATGAATACTTTATATTTGATTATCGTTTAAAAATATTCGTATTTAAAAATAATATTTTCATACAAAAATTTATTACGCACGTACTCGACTGTTCACATCTGAGTATGTATATGCAAGTGTACATACCCTGTGGGAAAACCTCTAGTTCTGAACTGGTGCGCTTCTAGTACATTTAGACCCAGTACTGGTTCGTGATAAATCTCTTTTGCATGCAAACAACTGGGAAGTATCAATTGTCCCCCGCTGCATACCTTTTTCGATAGTTCGGAACTGGACATAAATTCTATAGCTCCAAACCAGTTCTAAATCGACAGATGAAAGAAAAAAGTATCATGATTTTTCAATCTTTTTGGTTCTTTCGTGTGTGCGGTTTTAAATTATTTACAAAGAAATTTGTTTTCAATCTGAAATCAAATTTGTTTGAAATAATGTTAATTAAACTATATGGCTATAGCTGAGTTTGCAGAGGCGCTTGCTGTTATTGGTTAGATTCCAGACGGTCCTTATATGTTAAAATGTTAGCATATATTTTTGTTTTGTATTACCAAGCTATGAAAAAGCATCTGAAACGTGCATAATGGTAGGTTATTTGAACAAAAAGGCCGCCAAACACGTACATCTCTATGTAAAGTAAACAAGCCGCCACTGCATCCCTTTTTCGACAGTTGCGAACCAGTTCTAAATTCGTATGGTAGATATAGATTTCTAATGAAAAAATTGAACTTAAATAGTTTTTTTAAAAGAACCTCATTTCGCTGAGTTTTTGATCTAGATACAATTGGACTGGTTCGTTTTTGGCGATAAAGATCTAAAACGGACGTAGATATTTGATTCACTAGTCCACGGTTTCCCTGCAGGGTACATAGTACATGTATATCCTTGCAAATCGCGTGCTGTGGCGTTGATGGAAATTCAACATTGCCCTGCAGAAAAAATTATCAATTGTTAAAAAATAACCCACCTAGCGTTTTTGCGGGATTTCTAAAAAATATATAACTTGCAGTTAGCTACAAAACGCTAACTTGAAATTTCATATTATCAGTTCGAATATGGGACCACCTACAGCAGAATATGTAAACAAATATGAAAGGTAATAAAATCAATAAAGTGAATAAATCAAAAATTAATAAATAAAGATATTTTCGCGAAACATAGTTAGCTTTCGTCAAAGAAAATATACAGATAATAGTGACTTTCAGATCCTTCCTAATCAACTTAAAGTTAGCTTATAGTTGGATACATTTCCTGCAGGGTCAAAAGCTAATTTATATGCCTTGGTGTAGCTGAGTGCGCAAAGATGCTTGCCACAATTTGTTGATATCCAGAGATGGTCAGGGTTCGAATTCCACTGCAGGCAACATGCAAATTAAATTTTTTTGTTTTTCGTGTTTGTCTTGATTATTCACTTCACGGATGCTTTTTCACAACGAACGCGATCATTTTAATATGCGTGTAATTGAATTGAATATATACCAAAATACAGTACTGTCGTTAACGTATGTAGTAAGATTAATTACGTTTCTATTTTTTAATATTTCTTTACCTCAGTGTAGACACGGCATGTTTTAGGCGCACCTGCTATTCTTTGGAAGATTTTTGGAGATAAAAATTAGCGATAGCGTACGTTGGAATCCGGCTGTGGGTAGAGAAGAACTTGAGCACTGCCAATATACATACGTTAGTTGCAACGGAAGGGACTAAGAAGAAGACGAATATTTGGTATTGACTCTTAGCATAATTTTAATCTTTATTTGTCAAAGTCCGATGCAACTATGAGAAATACGTATCGGGAAAAGTGAGGTGTAATTAAACTATATATACGTCACACGTGGCATTTAGGCTATTTTGTACTTCGTTATATTAGACAAAACTGAATATGGATATGCCTGAAATATTTTTTAAGATTAGTTTATATTAAAGGCTTCATTTTCTTGCACAAAATTCTATATGTATGCCTCTTAAGTTACAAAAACAATTTGCGAGGGTAAAAGGCTTATTATTAGCATTAACACCCTGACTGCTTACCAGTGTAAACAAACGAAGGGCAGTAATAGTAGCAACAATGAGATTATCAGCAACAGGAGCAACAACAACAATATCCGTACTGCTGTAAAAGTAACAGAAACAAACAGAATATAACAGTAACGTTGTATGTGAACAAAACGGCACTTACACACTGACAGTTGAATGGATAATTTCTGAAATGCTGAAGGACAACAGCCTCAGCCAACAACTAAAGCATGAATGACGCTAACTATAACAGCAGTTGCAGTAACAACAACAATGGAACAACCTGGTACA